AAGAATGGTACCGATTGCGGCGTTTGTGGCGGGAAGCCCATACCTAGGTAAGCTCACGACAGAGTCGACGCGGGTCTCTGACCCCACAGCACAGTTGAACATTCCGTCCTCCCGAACCGAGGTAGAAACTGACTCGTCCAATGGAAGGCTCACTGAACTGTTGGTACGAGGCGCGAGAGCAAGCTGAGAAATATCGGCTGGTAGAAGTGCTGTGGCGAGCGGTTTGCAGAGTGACTGGATAGTGCCTTGGGGATCGTGAGGAATGCGGATGTGGCAGAGGGACGGGAACCTGTTTTCGATGATACCGGCTGCAAGGACATACGTGGCGATGCAGCAGCTTGGCTCTGGATTCGCCGATAGAGATGTTGGTGACTCGTATGATTCAAAAGTGGATGCAGAAAGAGAACTAGCCTCAGATCGAAACTCCCAGTGGAGATAGCGAAGCGATGGCGAAGCGAACACGGGGGTTGAATCGTGTTCTCGTAGTGCAGGTGCCTTGTTTTGAACCAGGGAGAATTCCTCTAGGCCAGCTAGAGAAGGCGACAGAATATCTGCTAGTGTATGAACGCTGATGTCCATGCCAACCAGTGTCAATTTCTGGATCGAGGTCGCCTGCGGCGATGTTACAAAGCGCTGGATGCCCTTCTCCGTGATGCCAGGCAGCGCCTCGAGACGAAGACTTCGCAGGTTTGTTGGTAAAGCGTTCAATACCATATTTGTGAATGAAGTTGCAGATAGCCCGCGTACCGAGAGGTGGCGTAGCTGTGGAAAGCCTCGAAGTGTGCCGACGATGGCTCGGAAGTTGAGGGGCGATGAGGAGTTGTTTGGTCCTTGGTGCAAGACCAGAGTAGACAGCTCGGGGTGATTGGAATTCAAGCCGAGGAAATGTTCGGTAGGGTCGCATTCGACAATGTAGTGGCCCCTCATCTCGTCCTCATCTTCCTCATTGAGTTCATTCTCAGCATTACCCAGTATCCACGTCCGCTCCTTGAGATTCGATCGGGTCGATAGCGCATACGATAGCCGGTCGAAAGCGTTTGTGAATGGAACGTGGAAGCCGACGAGGCGCTCCAGACGTGGGCAGGCCATGACCAACGATGCTACCAAATTCAAAATCTCCTCTTGCTCGATGGTAGCATTCTGGTATAGGTTCTGGAAGGCTGGAAGATGCAGCTCCTTTACCTGCTCAGCGAGTATGGAGCTCTCGCGAAGAGTCCTTCGAAGTAGCTTTAGTCGGCTGGTCCCCTTTATCTTCAGCCTTGGGTGCGCTCCATGCTCTTCATTAGCCAGCAACAGTGCCTTGCGGTACATTGCTGCATTTGCAGCTTTTCCCCATGCCCGACTAGTAAGAGAGAGGCTGTGAAGATCCTTTAGATAGCATGTTGCGCATGCTCCCTCTTGGTCCATATGAATTGGACTTAATTGCGCAACAATACAATCATAAACTTCTCTAGGCAGGCTCTTGTGGAAATAACCTGGCATTTGATATTCATCGTCTGAGTCAACTCTGGAGTGGTGGAATTGCCGCGACGCATGACCAGAGAAAATTAGACGGCGGTCACTACATGAGGTTTCATCCGAAAAATGCGGTCCAGTGGCTTTGATGACTGAGTGCCTAGGTGTCCGCACAACTACCTGTGGGATCGCTACGGAGCGTAGAGTGCTCGAAGCTCGTCTCTTGAAGCCATTGATTATTCGTGGTCGGGATGGTTCGCATCTACATGGAGGTCAGTGGACACGTTTGGGATTGAAAAGATATAGCGACTACGAGCACAGTGGTCGAGTACGGACGAAACTGTCGGCATCCCCTTGGAATCGTCTGCTCGTATTCCACATGAAACCATCGTCTGCACTGAAGCGTTCAAACCCGGCGCTATCTACTCCGACTTACAAATCAGCAGAGTCTTTCTCTGGCTTTTCTTTTCGGGATTTCGACAAGCGGAACATGATAATGTTATTTTTGGCTGGTACTGAGATCACAAAGCGAGAGTGGCAAAAATGTCATTCCAAATCCCGAGTACAAGCGCCAGTTTTGTACATTGGGGGGAGATAAGGATAGACGAAACAGAGGCGCAAGACTTTCTCGGCGAAATAAGTATCTTTGGTTGTATGTATGAAACATGTCAGCACGGGGCCTACCTTGCTAATACTCATATATCTGCGCGCAACATATTCAAACAAAAAAACGGGTCAGCACGGCCGTTGCCTCACAGGCATGATGCCATTACCGAGTCACGAGCTGCTCTGTACCAAGGGACGCCCCAAGAAGACGAGCTCACACCGGGCAAGATGGGCTATGCAATCAGCAGAACGCGTGGGCGCCACAGACGAGTCATGGCTTTGACAGCCTCAGCTGGGCCGTCTCCTAGACCAGGGGAACTTGCCACGAGTTAGGATGGCTAACGGTGTTAGCTTCAGTAAGTGCGCTGATATGGTTGAGCGAAACGTTGGCTGTGCATTACTGGCATTAAGCATGACTGAGGCCCGCGTGCCGTGTTTCTGTTGCAGTGTTAAGTTTGCGGACCGGACGGCCAGGTGCCGTTCTGAAAAGCAGCGTCTGACCGATAGGTATCCTCCGTGTCTTAGTTGACAGTGCTATGATGGATCTCGCGAACATGGAAACAATGGCAGCACGTGAGGCTGAGGAGCGGTAAAAGGGTCATCCACCTGCACCCCTGGACGGCGATCAGGTCCCTGGTCTTCGGTTCTTCTCGCCAATCGAAGCTCGGGCTTTAGAAGACACTAGAGAGGACGCCAAAGAGGGTGCCAAGCATTCAATGTTGTGGAGAGAACTAAGGATCCGCGATCTGGTGGCCCTTGTTCTGCTAGCAAGCCGCGCCATAGCAACGAGGGCTTTGGATTGGAAGATTAATGCCATTTAAGGTGTGGCTTAATTGCCATATCTGCAGGCAACACGTGGTAAATCCCTGTGCAACACGAAAGCTGGTACCCGCTCCCTTTGCACCGTGCTGTGCATGTTGCTCATGGATGGTCATTTACCATTTTCAGAAGACTATACCAGTTTGTACCGCACTTAGCACCAACATGGCACCAATACAGGTTGGTCATTAGCCAGAGACGTGCTATGTGCTGCATGTGCTTGTTCTTTGACAGCGGCCCAGTGCCCGCCCGGTTGTTTCACTTCATCCATTTTCGCAGAGTATGTAGGCTGTATAGTTCGTGAACTAACTTTTAACGCCATAAATGGAAAGAAAGGCACCGGTTGTCTGGAACGTTGAGATATATGGTTGGGATATCAGGTCGCATGCGAAGCCGCGTCGTAACCAAGGTTCTTCAGAAGAAAGGGATAGAATTACGCTATGCGGCAAGCATGGAAGACAGCACTAACATGTCGTAAATTTTAGCGTAAAAGTCTTCGACGCCGAAACCCTCCAGAACCAAACTTTGAGCTTTTGGTCCCCGAATGTTCCGAAATTGCGTTAAGCACCAAAACGGGCACGAGAGCTTGCCCATCTTATCGCGGCACCTTGGAATGAGAGGTACCTAGACAATTCGTCACCGACAGAAACCCCTTTTGGTAACTCAATAACACCGAATTTGTCCAAAAGCTTGGGTTCTATGTGTTGGCAAGGCACGGACAGGCTCGGCATGGCAGTCAGTTCGGCATCAACATGATCACGTGATGGGATCACAGCACGATTGGCTTCTAACAGCAAAGCTCCTGGATCAAACATGTCCGGAAAATCACGTGCAGAGCTACTTTGGATATAATCAATTTCTGTATGCTCGAGCCGTACTGCCCAATTGAGCCGGGACTTGGAAGACAGCTGATCAAGTATTCAAAGGTTATGTGCATAGATATGAGCGACACGTAACTCCAATTGCTTAGTAAGTCCTGTGCTATTGAGCATGGGTTCAATTGCCAGACAAACAATATTCAGACCCCAGCAGAGCACCTTAGAGTGCCTCGGACGGCCCAGCTCGTGCTGCCGCTGGGTACCAATGACGGTGATGCTGGGAGTACTCCGTCCAATAATTAGTAGCGTGCTTACGACGGAACCAAAGTCGGCCCCAGCACGATCGCATCACGAAAAGAACACCGCTACTTGCGTGCTAAAGCATCAACTAGGCACCATTGCAGCATAGCTTGTAGTTTTCGTTGCTTTTGTATACGACTAGAACGTGAAAGAAGAGCACGTGCAGGCCGGCATTGCGTGGAGCCGGAGCATGTTGGTCACGCAAGTCCGGGGATTGAGCGGAGCCGTGTACGTACTGCTAACGAGAACTGAAGATGCGACATCCTGCAAGACGATCCATCAGATCCCCATTTCCTTTCCAAGCCATAACGGGCTGCTACATGGTTTGCTTCATCCTCGCCCTGCAGACATCGAAGATGCGGAACATAAAGCATGTTGCAGATCCGTCGATCCCAATCACCAACCGCCCTTTGCGCAACGCACAACACGAAACGCACTGCAAGCTCGAATTTACTCTTTGATCAGCAAACTCTCAAGGAGCAATCATGAAGATCATACCGCAACGTATGCATGCAATCTTGCGATCAAGACAATGACTCAATCCGGAATGTGGGTCCAGCCTTACATTTGCTGCCATCAAACAGCCAGACGCCACACATCTTTTAACACGCTACACCCCCGCTTTCAATATTCGAACGAATTCATTGATGCGCCTTTTTCAATTTTTGAAGACACTGTGGTGTACTTTTCATTGGTGGATTGTGCAGTTTCCATTCCACGGTTCTACAACAGCAATTGAGCATAACACATTAAGGGACTTTGGCTAGTATGACCATCTTCTCGCCGGATCCCCAGGTGTTTGAGTCCAGCCTAAAGTAAAAGAAAAAAGGAAAGAGATTTGTGAGAGAATGACGCATATGTAGTGGTGTCCACCCAGAACAAGTCTATAAGTCAATCGTGTGACGATACAATTTTTGAAAACCATAATCTTACTTGTGATGGCTATTCCAAGCACACCGTCTCTGGTACTCCTGGCCATTAGCCTTGTAGTAGCAAAGGTACATGAACTTATGCCAATGCGGAATCCTTATCTATAAACCACCAGCTGATACCTTGCAGTTTCTCTACGTGGGCCTTACATGTCCAACAAGACACCTACCAGGCCCCTGGTACACGCGCTTCACGCATTACCGCCTCAAACGTGCCGTCGTGACCGGCCAACGCATCTTCTACATCGACTCACTGCACGAAAAGTATGGCCCAATTGTCCGTCTCTCGCCCACAGAAGTGGGTGTTGCCGACCTCGATGCCTTCAAAGAGATCCACAAGATTGGCACCAAATACATGAAGAGTGAATGGTACCTTCGCCTTGCCAACTTCCCCAAAGCCGGTGTCTTCACTATGCTTGATCCGCGCGAGCATGGTCCCCGGAGGAAGCTGTTGTCCAGGTCGTTCAGCAGGTCCTATCTCGTGCAGTACTGGGAGCCAGTCGTAAAAGAAAAGGCGCTCCTCGCCGTGCAAAAGATCAAAGCAGACGCCATGAAGAGCACAGCAGATGTGTACAACTGGTGGATGCTACTCGCCTCAGACGTCAGTGCCCATCTCGCCTTTGGCGATTCCTTTGGCATGCTCGAAGACGGACGCGTAAGATTCTCCTCTCTTTTAACACCCCCTTCAGTTAAAACAACAACAACAACAACCTTTTTCAGCGATGCTAACGGCATCCATACCATCAGACCAACCAATTCATGCGCGTCCTCAAAAAACTCACCATGGGCGCGGGCATCATGGTCGAAATGCCGCTCCTCCGCCTCCTCCGCTTTATCCCCATAACCGGCATCCAGGAAATGTTCAACGCCAACGAATTCATCCTCCAGGGCGCAGGCAAAGCCGTCGAAACCGCGCGCTCACGCACGGGCGAAAACAACATCTTCGCCAAGGTCATCGAGGACTGCGAGAAGGAAGGCGAAGGCCACATTGACGACATGGACGTCCGAATCGAAGCCATGAACGTCATCATCGCCGGCACAGACACGACGGGCGTGACGCTCACGTACCTGACGTGGGCGGTGCTGCAGCGCCCGGACCTGCAGGCAGCGCTCGAAGCAGAGGTCGGCAGGTTGCAAGAGGATTTTACAGAGAACGATCTTATCAATCTGCCGCTGCTTAATGCCGTTATAGAAGAGACGCTGCGGCTATATGGCGCCGCCCCGAGTAGTCTACCACGCGTTGTGCCGCAGGGCGGGACAAAGTTCGCAGGCCATTTTATACCAGAGGGTGTGACGGTAGATACGCAGGCGTATACGTTTCATCGTGATCCGAAGATTTGGAGTGACCCTTTGACGTAAGTGTGCTCCACTAATCTTTTATTGCGAGAGAGAGAGATGTGTGTGTGCTGATATCAAGCCATGTAGATTTAACCCCGACCGCTGGATCCCCGATAAGGAGACAGGTGTAGCAGAAGCACTCTCTCCCGCTGCTAAGCTGGCGTTTCATCCGTTTGGAGCGGGCGCCCGGTCGTGCATTGGGATTCATCTGGCGCGCATGGAGTTGCGGTATGCGTGTGCATTTTTCTTTCGCGAGTGTCAGGGGATAAGGTTAGGGGAGAGGACGACGCCTGAGAGTATGGAGTTTGAGGTATGTTTCTTTTTTCTCTTACTCGTACATTTTTTCTTCTTCTTGTTTTGCAAAGGAGGAGAAGTGTGGGCTAACAAAAGTGATTAATTTCAGAACTTCTTTCTAATTGCGCCAAAGGCACATCGGTGCGAGATCACGTTTAGTGAGGCGCCGTAGGAGGTGTGTGTGTGCAGGGGTTGAGTTGGTGGATAGAGAGGGAGGAGACTTGAGGTGTGGCTCATGGGTATGTTGATCGTGCTTGTGTAGCAGAGAGGCTAAAAGAAATGAGACTATATTTGATGATTTTGAGAGCTTCCACGAGAATAACGATTGTGATGCGGGAAAGTGTCGGGTATACTAGCGATTAAAGAAATCGAAAGTTCGAATGTGTAATGACTTCTGAGAAGAAAACATCCGAGAGTTCTTAACGGCCGCATATCCGGATTATGAAAATGCTCTGAAACATAATCGAATTAACTAAAAGCATGCCGTGTGTGCACATTTTCTCAGCTGCATTATAATCACACAACAGCGCGTCTAGCCAGCAAAGCAAATAGATCAAATTACAATATTCTCATTCAATTAGTTAATATCATTGGTAAGATGCGAAACCATTACCATGCCATTCATATCCCATAACAACCCTCCACAGGCAAACACTTCTCATGTCAACAAGCGCTTAAGACCTTCGTGGTATCAATACACACACCCCCTCCCTCAAAGCACGACACTGAAGGGAATTACATCCATCTTATACTACATTCGCACCGCTTACAAGAAAAAAGCAGCAGCAGCAAGCACGGCAGCAAGTCCACCAGACACAGCAAGCGCAGGCGCAGCATTAGCAGTAGCCTGTGGGAGTCCCGAGGAGCTAGTAGGCGAGCCAGTACCAGTAGGACGAGTACCGTTTCCAGCGCCGGCACCACCGCCAATAGGGGCAGAAGGGGTAGGCTGGCCGGAAGTAAAAGGAGCATTGGAGACAGGAGTGGCACCCGAGTATGCGGGGACACCACCGTCTTCGTTGGAAATAGTGCTGTTGTTGGGGTTCAGGACCTGGTCGATGACGTGGACAACGCCGTTGGCGACGAGAACATTGGCGATGACGACCTCGGCGTTGTTGACGAAGATGCCGTCGTCGTTGATGGTGATGGTGACGTTGGCACCGTTGACGGTGGCGATGGAGGTGCCGTTTACGAGGCGGGTCGAGTATCCGACTGTGCCGGCAATCACGTGGTAAGTGAGAATCTTGGTTAGGTCGTCGGTGGAGAGGCCGGGAAGGGCAGAACCAATGTTCTGGAAGGCTTGGTTGGTGGGTGCGAAGACGGTTACGTCGGGAGTGGTGTTGACGGTGTCGACCAGGTTGGCGGAGACGAGGGCGCCACGGACAGAAGTTAGGCCTGCGGCTGTGGCGGTGTCGGAGACAGAGCTGGGAATGGTGAGGACGGTGTCAATAATGTGGATTACGCCGCCGGTGAAGTTGACGTTCTGGGCTTCTTGTTAGTAAGGAGAAGGGTAAAGGTGAATTTGGGGACGTACGGCTGTGGTGACGGTCGAGTTGCTTAGGTCTCCAGTGTAGAAGACAACCTTGCCATCATCAGTCGTAGCGTGTACGACTTGGCCACCAGTGACGTTGGTGTACGTCATGTTAGTCAGGAGCGTAGGAACGAAAGCGCCCTCGTCTGGGATAGCAGAGGACGGGTATGATCCATTGAGGACGTGGTACTGGAGGAGGGCAGTAAGAGCACCGGGGTTAGCAGTCAGAGAAGACAGCACCTGAGGGCTGACTTTCTCAAAAGCAGAGTTTGCAGGCGCAAGGATGGTAATGTTGCTGGCACTGCTGAGTGTCTGGAGAACATCTTGAGGAACGAGACCCGCGAGAGTCGACAGTTCGGACGACGATTTCAGAGCATCAGCGAGACTGGGAGTGCTCTGCGCGACGGCAGCAGCCGCGAGGGCGGCGGCAACAGAGAGCTGCTTGAGCATAGCTAATTGAGTGCTGGTATATGTAGCGAAGAAAAAAGAAAAACAGTGAGAAGAACAAAGACAGTGGTAGCGCTGCTGTCAGGTTAAATTTTTTGAGTGCCTTACAATTGAGAAGTTTGGGGGGAGACAATGCAATAAGTACCATCACTGCCAGAGACATAGCCACAAACAAACCCATCCCGCCTCTTCTCTTGCTAGTCATGCCATTGCCTGTTCTAAGCCCATCAGGAACCGACGGTACCGGCGAGTTCTCTCCAAGACCCCTGCTCGAACCAATTAGGCCGAGCAGATGCAGTATGGTGATGCTCGCTTCAAGACGAGGCTTATGTCGTGCGGTATGGCCCGGTAAGACCAGTGATATCATAGATCTGTTAGCCAAGTCACGATACACGCGAATTAATGACGCCTTGAAACTGTAGGTCATTCATTCGTCGTGGACCCAAGCAATCTAGTCGTGTCCGCGTGTTGTCGCGAGTGGAAAACTTGAATATGTAGCAGCATTGAGGCTGGAAACACGACATCTCACGATCGGAGGTTAGTCCTCAACCTGCCCTCTCTCTTTTTTTCCCACTTCTCTTTTTCATCTGTTTGCTGCTTTGCACGTTTCACGGCCGTCAGCATTGTCTCCCCAACGGAAGGGCAGATCTCAAGTGCCTTCCTGATGGAGTGGCTGGTCTGGTTTCACTCTAGCCTAACTTCAACCTTTCGTCCGGGAAAAGCCAGGGTCAGGAAATACTTAAAGATTCTGGAATGGTAGTACGTACTAGCCCCAACTGCAGGGGAGGGGTAGGAAACGTGTTGTCAGTTCTCGATCGGCAATGTGTGGGGTAGACCAGGGCTACGTAACTAGCTTGGCCGACGACACCATCACCTAATCAGGTGCGTAGGGGGGAAACCAACCGTATTCTATGATCAACCTCGACTCTTGACCATACGATGCGTGCATCGAGCATGCCAGCAGTGGATCGAAGAGTACCTTGAGGATGGAGGGAAGGATTGCGCGTCCCGTAGCGCTGGCATTGCATGCTTACCGAAACCACACCACTTTTTGTCTTCTGTTGCTAAGGCTGAAAGGCTTAACCTAATGGCTGGGTTTAACCCCAAGTTACATGGAGTGTAGATGTGTAACTCGTTCATCAGCTCTCCAATCAAACAGAGTCTGGAAGCGCACATTCTCCCGTCCCGCTACCAACGACCAGCCGTTGTGGCCGGGACACTGTGCTGACTATTGCTCTTTCTCCCGTGTCCATTTCAAACCATATCCAGATCATCATGCACAAAACATAATTGCACATCTCTCCATTCATTCAATCCGACATAAATCCCAAGCAATCCTTAGCTACCTCACTGCCTCACCCACGCCTTTCCCCCCCACCGGCGACTTTTCGCCGCGATCCTCTTCGGACGCCTTATTGCATCCACATCTACATTGGCACCGCATGTAGATGTATGTGCAACCAACACATCCTACACGCACATCCTCTCCACCCCCAGAAAAATCCTTCAAAACGACCCACCCGTTGCTGGAAAGGCATTACACACACAAAAAAAGCACAGCCCCTTAGTCTCCGCGCTATCCTAGTACTAAGTTGTAAGTCATTTGTAAGCGGCGGGCAAACAACCCCCAACACCCTGGTATCAACCACCTCGCCTAACCGCGCCACCCTTGTTGCATTTGTCCCGAGCATCGAGCAACTTTTCTTTCATTTCCACACTTTGAACTCAGATCCTGGCCCTTTGCCTTTACTGCGCGTGTTTTGCCGCTGGGTATCTGATCTTTCCCGTTTCTCTCTTTCTTTAATAATCCCCTAATCTAGAACTCTGGAAGGAGAGTGTGTGTGGCTAGTTTCGCAAGCGACTTTTAATTACAGTTTGCTAGTAACAGGCCGGTTGCTGGGTATCGTTGGCAGCGGGGAAAAAAGGTAAGCTGACAATGCGATTGAAAAAGCTTGTTCTGGGATGAAACTTGTTACTTCTTGCATCATCTGGGCTAGGCATCGTGGACTGTGCTGTGCTGTATATACCCCGTGGGCTTGGGGACAGCGGTGGATGGTAGATGGGCAGCTAGGGTGCGTTGTTTTGTGCAAGGCAAGGTAAGGGCATGCATGGTGAAGTCTGTATATTCACGCAATGGAATGCCATGGAAGGGAGAAACATCGTGGTTTGTGCTTCGCATTGAAAGCGTATGGATTGTATCCAGCCGCTCGGAGTATCTTCACCCGCTTCAGCATGGCTGGCTTGAAACCAATGTCCCGCTCGACACACGCCGTTTCTCGCCTCGGCGGACGAATACCCCAACTCGTGTGGTATGCTGCTGACACACACATAGCTTTCGACGACGCGTCAAGCGAGACGGATAGTCATATTGCGTCCCGTGTGCGCTGAAACCCAAGGTAGCAGGTACTTGTCCAGCCCGGGTACCACTAGTATGCAAAAGTTCATACTTTTCCCCAACAAGGTTGTCGTGATATTCCGTCATCCGTCCCTTGTCTTTCCTCTTCTCCAAAACAATCACAGTTGCTCTGCGCAACCGTAACGATACTTTCAGTCATAACCATAAGTCGTCATCGTCCCTGCAATTTCTCTAGGGTCAACCATGTCGACTACCTTCATCCCCTACTCCTCAGCATCTTCCCCAACGACGCTCCCAGGATTCTACTTTCCTTGCTCCTGCTCTTGGGCGTCGGACTCGCATGTCTAGACGAGGTCTTGGACTCGGCAGGCGAGGCCTCGCGACGCTTTCTCCTCACAGCAGCGTCTTTGGACTCGGCGCTGCTGGACGAGTTGAGCGTGTCGCTGCGTTTCCTAAGACGTCGGGTTGGGCTTGACGTTTGGGCTTGAGGACGCGATTGCGAGGCAGACCTTGACGCTGATGATGTCTTCGGCGGGGCGGCTGTGGATGCTGCTCGTCTCCGTCTTCTCTCTTCGTCGATCTGTACAGGCTCGGGCTCTGGTACGCGAGTGACGGCGGGACTCGGTGTTCGTGCTCGCCTTTCCTTTTCTGCAATCATGCTTTGTCGTTCCATTTCTTCGAGTTCGTCAAGAGATACCTTCTTCAACTCTGGCACTGGACGCGGCCGCCGAGGTTCGCTTTCTGATCGCGATGCCGCATAGGAGTCGAGCACCTTCTCGACTTGCTTCCTGTGTGCATCGGTGCTTGCCAGACGTGTGACCTCGAGTACCAGCAGGAAAGTGAAGATGTACCCGACGAAAAATCCGAGGCGGCTCCAGAACTCGTAGCTGACGAGAAAGGAAAAGAGTTTGACTGTGGAAATGATTCCGCTAATCATTTTTGCTAGAATGATTTGGAGTTTGGTAAGAAAGAAACAGTCGTGGATTTGCGAAGCGGAGCGTAGTACTGCAGAGAGGAGCGTGATATCGTAAAGAGCAGCGTGATACCCCAAACCCGTCGTGTGATGCTCAGCAAAACCAGTATCGATACATGCGACCAGCGCTCAAAAATATATACAACCAGCTATTCAATACGTTATCGCTGGACGTCAGTCAGGCACCAAGCAAGTAAGAAGTAATAGAAGAGAGGGTGCGCAACTCCCCCTCTTCAACAATACTCCCACCCCCTCAGCGCCGCTCACCACCTTCCAATCCCACCGTTTCACCTCCGTGTCGCCAAGCGGGCCTCCTTACACAGGGGTCCTCCTTGAATGTTTGAGCATGAAACGGCTGACAGGAAACCCGAGGAAGAGCGGGGTGTGGGTACGTAAGGCAAAGGTGCGCGCACTCTGATACGGCGAGAGGTTAGGTTCCAGACACGAATCTACAGATTGTGGCTTTTGGATGGTTATCTTTCATTGTTGCAGGCGCCTTGTCGTGTGATGGGGAGGTGAGAGCGGGTGGGGCAGGGGAGGGGCAAGGGGAGTTTGTAGCGAATAGATTCGCGAGGATACGAAGGACGCCAAAGATAGTAGGAGGAGTAGGCGAGGAGTTCGCCAGTAAGCGCTGGTGTTTGGAAGTGCGATGGTGTGTTCGCATGGATTTTAGCTGGAGAGCAATATAGTTTGCAGCACAGAAGAAGAGGAGGTGTAGGGATAGGTGCGTCATTTCTTGCTTTTCTTCACCATTTCATCGTGGGCGCATGTAAGACGGCAATCTGCCTCTTGAAGCTAGCAGCGCCTCTTCATTTCCGCGTACCTTTTGGTGGTTCCGAGGGTGCCGGCGCATGTGAAAGAGGGAAGGGAGAAGTTTTCCTGCAAGAAGGTGGAGGTGGCTATCAGTCGTAGTAGAACCGGTGAGGGGAGGGTGTTTAACCTATGAAGTTCTCACTACCAACATTCGCTATGCACTATCCCCATTGTCTCGGATATCCTTGTTCGTGAGTTCACAAGAAGACGGTGCGCCACCGTTGCATTTATGTATTGGTAGATAGCCAAAAAAAAACTGCAATAGGGAGAGGCTTCAACATGTCCCATCTCCCATGCACTCGCTTGATCTCGCTCTTGCTATTCAAAATGCCACAACACGCCAAAGGCGTAACAATACAGCATATAGTCGTAGTGTATGCATGCAACTCTGCACCAAACTCCAGACCCAAGCTCGCTAAATGTGGAGATAAAAAAAGGAAAAGAAAACACAAATAAACGCCGCGCTAAACAAATGCAGCAATATGCAACAGGGGAAAAGGACAAAAGAAGGAACACTTTTGCTTGTCCAGCGTCATTCCAAAAATAGAGAAGAGGGTTTCACCGCCCACCAGGCAAGATCTCGTCGTTAAATATGCTTGCATCCCAGCCCCGCTCTTCCATGAGTGTAGCGGCATCTTCACTCATCCAATGTGTTTCTACTGCACCCGAACTTCGCATGTTTTGACTTGTCATGTAATTGCCAATGCGCGTCGTCTGCTCAAAGCCGACTATGCATCCCCAAATCGTCGCAGCAAGCCATGAGAAGAATGAAGAAACAGGGACCCACCAGTCCTTGATGAGATTGCGGTAGATGAGGGTAGGAATGACGTAGGGATATTTCGGGGCATTGGGGTTCACACT